GCGGACAACCCAGGTTTTTCGGGCTTATCCCGGGCATGGGCCGGGTCCGTGCCCGATATCGGGCCAGGCCTTGGGCCCAAATGGACACCCTGTGCATACACAAGAAATAAAAGAGATGACTCAGTTTTGGCCCAAACTCAGTGCGATTAAAGCCCATATATGCAAATATGCAAAAATTCTCAGGCCTAAGCCCATAATTCCAGCGGACAACCCAGGTTTTTCGGGCTTATCCCGGGCATGGGCCGGGTCCGTGCCCGATATCGGGCCAGGCCTTGGGCCCAAATGGACACCCTGTGCATACACAAGAAATAAAAGAGATGACTCAGTTTTGGCCCAAACTCAGTGCGATTAAAGCCCATATATGCAAATATGCAAAAATTCTCAGGCCTAAGCCCATAATTCCATATGTAAGTCTCGGCCCACGAAACCCCTTGAAGCTCCCCCAGCAATTCTAGAGAGAGAGAGGTTCAATGATGCCGGATGTTCTAGCGAAGGGCAGGGCTTCCTGCTACAAGGTACCCTCTTTCTCCTCCCCTCACTTCCTCTCGCTAAATTCTCTCCACTCACCAAAATTGGGCCCTCTTTAGGCCCGTGACGCTTTCTATGCTTGCTTAGAGAAGGAATCCGACAAAAAGCCCACCGAGATCGCCACCGTCGGTCTCCTCTACCCCTCGGAGTGCAAGAAATCTAGGGCTGAGTTCGTCAACCGATGCCGGCCCACTTGGGTACTTCCATTTTATCCGCTTTATTTATTGATGCTCTTGATCCTTGAAATGGTGGTCTGGATCTTGATGGGACTGTTTTGGGTGTTAATGATTATAGGTGAAGCATTTTGATCGGCAGTATTGTGCGAGGAGGAGGGTTCAGAGGCTTTTGGACAGCGACGGGTCGCGACGAGGTCCGCTTTCGATTCCAGAGTCTTCAAACCCTAAACCCTAATTCATGTATTGTTTGATTGAGCTAGGCTTTTTTTTTGTGATTTGTTTGAGATAAATGTATTGGGTATTAATTTGAAAGTGTTCAGTGCGTAGGATAAATAAGTTAATGAAGCTCATAGCACAATGGTATGTTCGATTGAGAAGGAGAACTATGAAGGGTGAAATTGAAGTGAGAGCATTTTTCTGGTATCAAAATTTAACCTGTTTTTTCCAACTAAGTGTTCAGGATTCAAGAGTGTCCTCCATGAATACTAAGGGCAGTGCGTGCGCATATTATGGTAGATGAAGGGAATTTGTCCGTTCTCTTCATGTTCCAATTTAGCCTATAGGTTGAGATCCAAACACTTTCATGTGTAACCCTATATAGGTACGTCGGGATTCTCTGGTTTGTCCATTTTCTTCTCTATCATCATACCTAGTGAACAACTCCTAGTATGGTGCTCCTTTACGATATATCCTTGCATAGAAAGCGTCATGTAACAATTTCCAGTTTTAGGCCTCTACTGGAGAAGCTTGCTTTGTGCCTGCAACAATCTCATCACCTAGCAAGGAACAAAAGCATGAATAGGTTGAGAAAGAGGTTTTTTTTTTCTTGTTTACATGTGATCCACCATATCACACATTACCATGTTTTATCATTGAAACCGATGTGTGTCAACTCTTTGTTCCTTTTAGGCATCCAAAAGTTGAGCTTCGCAGGGATCATCCTTCACCCATAAAATTTAGTAGATCTCCAGTCTTAACTTATCGCCTTTCTCTCTAATTGATGTAGAACTACTCTCTTAAGCGAGTTGTGCTCTCTGTAACTAACTATCAGAGAATTCCAATTTAAAGGATGTCCTATTGCGCTTTCAAAAATAACCTCCTAACGTACAAAGTTGCAAAATCACTTTCAAGCCGAAAAGAACTTGGAGTGGAATTTGCTTCTCAATTGCTCGTTTGCTTTATTCTTGAAAGAAGTTCTGATGACAGTGACATGGTCTAGAGGCCGGTGCACTCATCACCTTTTTAATCTCTAGGCATCTTTAGCGTAACTCTTGTTACTCATACTCATAAGATCACTAGCATGTTTACAAAGAATCAGTATGAGTACCATCCTACTTTTAGGTTTTTGAAGTGTTGGACACGTGGTTGAGCAAGTTTTCTTGAACGCTTTAAAGATGATTTCAGACATTCAATTAGGATGATACGGGTGTATTTTCTCTTCGGAACTTAGCGATCCTCATGAGAGCTTGAGGATAGATGATTCTCATGATAACTTGAGAATAGAGGTGTAAAACAATACAGTGGAACGCAGATCAAAGCGTGAAACGAGACGGCGAATCGAAGAATCGAAGCGTCCAGTTTTTAGCTCGTGAGTCGACTCATACATGCACATGATGTATGAGTCGACTCATCAGGTTGAGTCAACTCATGCCTGTCATGAGTCGACTCACGAAGCCCAGCCGTTTGTCAGAAGTTTCTGACCAGTCGACTCATGACTGTCATGAGTCGACCCATGTGTCATGAATCAGACTCATATATGCACATGAGTAGACTCATCGATGGTTTCTTAGTTAGTTTGGGTTTCTGTTTGCACGAATTCCTGTGGGGTTTGGGCTTGGTTATTTACCACTTTACCATCCACGTTGTTATACCTATATAAGGGATTGTTTAGGGTTTCTAATCAATCAGATGTAATCAAATAGAGATTCTAATCAAGAGAGATTAGGATTTAGAGAGAATTAAGAGTTTGTTCTCGATTCTGGTAAGATTGTGAGAGAGGGATTGTAATCTTTTCATACTCATAATCTAGAGAGATTATTTTCCTTCATCACATACTGAATTATTCTTGTGTTTCTGTCATCCTCTTCTCAACCCACCTTTGATAATTCCGCGATCAAAGGTGCTCGCACGGCGACTCGTATCATAGGATGTGAGAATATCAACTTTTTGTGAAATATGTGAAGTATCAATTGCATATAATAGGAGGTAGTAGTGCTCTATGAAGAAACTTAATAGTGATGTTTAGAGGGTCACTTTAGCACAATAAACCTAGTTAACCTTAGCAGTGCCTAGTAGTGGGTGGAAGTTGAAGTAAAGGCCAAGCTACTTCTTTGCATCCACAATCTGTGATTTTGATTAAGTTAACCCGTTAGTTTTTTGACCTAACTTCTTAAGCCCTACACCTTCTAGGTGGCAAGGATCTTTGTAGATTTATTTGTAGTTGTAAAACTTCTGGCATTTGCAATAAACTTGAATGGTAGATTTATTTGTAGTTGTAATTTTTTTTTGGGGGTGGGGGTGTTTTTTCCGAATACTGGTACTTTAAATCTTCAATAATTTGAAAGCAGTCACTCAAACCATTGAAATTGATGCTTAGTCCCTTAAAACTTATAAGCACTGTTAATAGCGACGCTAATAGCATTAGCGGTCCCTTCCCGCGACGCTATCGCCCGCGACGCTATCGCGCAATAACGGTGACATATTACGGAATATGTCTGTTCGCAAAAGCGGTCAATAGTATCATAACAGTAAATAGTGAATGATTGCATTCAAAATTTGCTTTTTGACTGCTATTTAAAAGCGATTTGAGGCTTATTTTTTTAAAATTAAACTCAACCATTGACCATTACATTCCACCGTCTCCTGTGATTTTTAGCATACTCCCGTCACCTTTCATAGCCTTTGGCACCTACCTTGATACTTCCTCTCCCCTCCGTCACCATGAGCTCCTCTTATGGCAGTCCTCGCCGCTAAGCTCTTCTTCTCGAAGACGACGACTTTTTGACTCCTCCAATCATCTTCGGTATTACGTGATGGTTACATGTCTATTTCATGTTTATGATCTCTTTAAATCATTCAATATGTACTTTTAGATTTTTTAGATTTTTCTTTAATTTTTTCTTTTTTTAGTATTTATACATATCTAATTTAGACCGCTATTTGACTTTGTGTTTTTTACCGCTATTTTGCCGCAATAGCCCAAAATAGCCTTAGCGATACCTCACCGCTACGCGACGCTATCCGCTATCAATAACCTTGCTTACAAAATTAGTCCCTTTGTTAGCTAGTTAGTCTTAATTACTAACTCGGGTTGGGTTAGTTGTTAACCACACATGTAGAATTACATTTTTATCCTTAGTAGTTCCCCACCCAAAACACCAATTTTTTTTAAAGAAACGTGTTCAAAGAAACTAGTTTAAACAGGAGTGGAAGCTTATATCTAAAATAAAAGGTTGGATTCGGAGTAGGAGTAGCTTAAAAGAGAGGTGTGATTAGAAATCCTCACAAAAGTTAAGTTAAATTGGCATTATTTCCCCGAAACAAAGGATATCTATCTACTGAGACTAATTTGAAATTACTAGCAAGATTTGAGAGATTAAATAGCAATTTTTTAAGGATTTGAGAGACTAATTTCAGCATGTAAAAGATTTAAGGGACCAACATTATAAAAGTCCCAAGAGAAAATGATATTCCAAATTAGTCATGATATTTTAGATTATTAGATATTTATGACTTAAGAAACTCCAACCCTCTATTTTCAATGGATTTATTTGTTTTCTCAATATTGGAGTTGTTTGATATTTGAAACATTACAGTTTGTTTTGTTGTAGTTATAACTCTTTCTTGAGGCTATAATTATTAACAAAAATCATTTTTTAAGATATTAATTGGTTACAATTAATTTTTATACTAAAACAACTAGGTTCCTACTGCTAAAAATCGGACGTGAAAGTTTCCTCTCATCCAGCTCAAGTAGTTACCAAAAAGTACTACTTACTCAAGTTCCCAGCAAGGACTTACCTTTCATTAATTCATTTTTCTTTTGACTTCCACTTTACTTCGGACAAAATTGAAATGTGAAATTATTGAGTAGTCTACTTCCCTTACTCATGTTCCCAGCAAGATTTAAGGGATTAAAACACATTTTCAGACCCTCTGGTGTCTTCCAAACCCCTGCACTAACATGTAGTTTACATTTGCTAGTCAAATAGTGTTCTGTTGTTATTTAGAAGAGATCATATTATGTTTACTATTTTGATTTTATTTGTCGTGTTCTCATTCGTTTTGCTCAAAATAATTAAAATTTTAAGATATCAAAGTCTATTATTTTATCTTTTGGATCGAACTGGATTTATCTTATTATTTAATTTTCTCCTCCGTCATTAATCCTTTTTATGAAAAGTTTAATGTTCAGTTATGAGGATATGTTATGAAGTAATAATTGATTAATGGTTTTTATATACCCCAAAAATAACCTTGGAGTTACGTATTCATAATAGGAGGGTGTTGCCAAGGATCAAAATCACATTATCGTGATGATCTGACCCTCCACGTGTTCAAAATGTTGTCGTCTATTCCTCCCTTGAGACGGGAAGGAACGAGCCGCAATCAGCAGCAATGTAACTGCATAGATGATGATGTGTCATTCAGACACCAATCTAGGCAATACGCATCTCTATAAAAAGAATGAACAGTGATAACTTTCTCTAACCTATCACTCTCTAGGATTTTTGCCTCATTTACTGCTCTCTTTACTATCTTTGGAGAGATCCTAACTTATGCATCAGAGGGCGTACCGGAGCCCCAAAGCGGGGATAACTCTAGCACCGCCTAACAAGTCATGAACGTGCAGGCTAGGGAGAGGGAGGATTCCAGCTAATATCAGATCTTATTGGAGACTCAGTTTGCCTTATTTATTCCCCTTAATTGGAGGAATAATCTGTGAGGAATTTACTATGTAACAACAATTGATGCCGTTTGCGGGTAATAGCTCCGATAAAATCTTGCAACGATGGCCAGTGAACCCTCTTATGACCCTGACACGCCTCACAAAGCTTGAGGGTCGAGTAAGTGAATACTTCACGTGGGCGAAACCTGACTTACTCAGTCGACCTCACCCGATGATTTCATCTTTTTTGGAGATGAACGCCAAGAGAAGGCAGTAATGCCATACGATAATGCGTTGGAGATTTTCGTGCAAATATCCAACACAGTGATCTGGAGAATCCTGCCTGAGAACCTTGGTAAATACTGGGAAGTTTGGCCGATGTATTATATTTTAGTATGTTTGTGCGAATGGGCTTCCATCAGGAAGGGTCTCGAGCCCTACGTGGGAGTCTTAATTGACTTTGCATGCAGATCCCTCATGGTAGAAGGAATGGTTGTCCTTTCCTTGGTAGTTGGGGGAATATACCTGGTAAGTAACAACGATGACTAACTTTTTGGTGGTAAACCTCAAATCGGCTTACAACTTTATTATGGGCCGACCAACTTTGATTGCCCTAAAGATAGGTATATCGACTCTCCTCCAATTAATCAAATTCCCGATCCCTAAGGGGGAATAGATGGTAAAAGGTGACCAATATTTATCCCGAGGATGTTATTTTACCTCAGTGAAGCCTATTGCTAAAAAAGAAGCCCCCTGAAAGCGCCTCTCACTCGAAGAGAACGATCCCAGAAGGACACCCACTGAAGACCTCCTTAGCGTTGATTTAAACGAAGGGTTCATTCATTTTACAAGCATAGATGAAGTTGAAATGAAGCTGTCATCTACCTGAAAAAAAATTATGCATCTGTTTGTTGAATATTACCAGTGCCTCCAAACATCAATCTGAATGTTAAACGCATTAAGATGAGGATGGAACTTAGCTAGGGTAATATACTCAAAGTTCAGATTATCTGCACTATGAGTTTCTTGACATCAAGTATTTTCTAGTTCGAAAGGGTAAGTTCTCTTTCCTTAAAGCGGAACCTGAAGTATCATCTTAGTTATGAGGTTGGAATACCGGCTATACAGCAATTGGCTGCTTTAATTAATCAGTTTTTATCTTAAGGTAGCTGGTTATGAGATACTCATGTGAAGTTATGAATTGATATAGGATTATAGAAAATGCCTGATTCAATTTGATTTGTTTCATGTATTAAGACATGATTGAACAAGGCATTATCAAGGGATATCATCTCACGTCCCCAGACCAGCAGCATAGCTTGAGGTGCTTGACAACGGTGATACATGCATGGGCATTTGCCAAGCCTGTTGTTCACTCTCGTATCACAAGAACAATACATCCAGGAGGGGAAAAAACTCTATTGATATTCAAAAATTCTAGAGCAATAAAGTATTAAGATCCGCATTTAACTGTTTCTTGTTTGTTCTTCCTCTAGATCCTTCAAGCGATGGGACAAGGTTGGTTGGAGGTTAGCTCAGTTCTGCATGCTTCACAGGAAGAGTAACCATGCTGCTTCGCTTTCATAAAATCTTCAGTGGATGGTTTCATTCAATAACTGAGTATGTAATTTAATCGTGGAGTCGGGTCCATATTGTTGTGACAGATTCGGTTTAGTCGGTATATTTTGTGACGAATTTGGTTCTGATATCCATGATCAGTTATTGAGCAGTGAACACCACCTAGTGAAGTGGAAGTATTGAATGTTTGAGTTGTGGTCTTATGAAAGAAACAAAAGGATATATCTCATGTTTCATAGTAACGCGTAGAATCACGTGAGTTAATGTGCAGCTTGTGCCAGTGATTTCTTTGGTCCGTTCCAGGATATCTCAAGTTTCAAACACAAACATTCCATATTTTCATAGAGCTTTGAGATGCAATTGAAGTAGAGAGGCCTGAGTATGGACGTCACTGTTCTTATTGAGGCTCTTGACAGTTTCACGAAGGCATCGTGTCACTGGAGTTTCAACCGTTGGTTCGAGAACTTGTAAGGTTGTTTTCGAGGGTTCTTCTCGTCGGAGCATCTGCAATCCAAACCATGCCATGGCCATGGATTAGTGCTAAAGACAACAGAAAGAAGAAGGAAGTGTTGAGGAAATTAGATTCATAATTTACTTGAATGTTTGTTTGCGATTTCGTTTCTTTTCTTTTAATCGAGGAAGATGTTTAAAGGTTTAGTTATAGATACGTCTTCTGTACGATAGAGATTGGGCACTTATTATCTCTAAAAATTTTTTATCAGCACGCAGACATTCTTAATGGTAAATGGAATAATCTCATTGTTTATTTATTTGTACTATGAGGAATGTATGTTTAGGCATTAACAAGGGAAATAGAGGGCGGTGTTGTAACCTACTGGGGCAGAAATTATTAAAAATGATATGATAATTCTTAAGTTAGGAGAGGAGATAGCCCTCAACAAAATCGAAAGGAAGAGTACGCTTCATATAAGGGCTGTTTGGTTCATTTCTTAGAAACTCAGGTTTGCGATATTACTCATGGGAAAATGTTGTGGGATTCATTTTTATATTTTCAAACCAGTTTCATGACTTTTTGGATTTCCTTAAATTTGGGACTCATGATATTATTATCTTACTAGTGGGTGGGTCTTACATGCACAACATCTTTTTTTTTCTTCTCTTAATCAAGCACAAGAAAATAAAATCAAACACCTTCACATTGGTGTGTTGAGTGTTCTGATTTTCTTTTCTTAGTTTCTCAGTCAACCAAACAGCCCCTATGGCTGACCTCAAAGGCTTAATAGTTGTTGTTAGTGTTATTGTAGGACAGGATGTAAAAGTGTTCTTTAGATTGGGAGACCGGTCATCTCTTTCTTTAATAGTAACTACTAAGGAGAATTTTTTTAAAATATTATTTTTGAAAAATAATAAGCAAAACTGGCCTTTTATGAAAATATTAGCAAAATTGATCTTTTTTTGGCCAACGTCGATTTTGGAAAATACTGACTTTAAAATACATGGGACTAGTAGTCCCGTGCAGTTAGTAGCTGCTAATTACAGTTAATCTGAAATGATAGTCTCGTATACCTTGTGCTGAAATGCTTAAGGTTTAATTAATCATAACTAAATATACAGGACTACGTGTATTTTAAAGCTGTATTTTTTGCAAAGTCAATCTTTTTTTAAGAAAGTTATGGATTTTGCTAGTTATTTTTTATAAAAAGTCTTTTTTTTTAATCCTAACTATAATCATCTTATTCTTACGTCAACATTTAATCTTTGACACTGTACATGCGGCCAAACAGCTCTGGTTTGCTTCAATTAAACTATGACATCTGTCTTCTGAAAAACAAACAATAAACAAAAGCTATCACAGTGAAAGGAGCAAAATGGTAGCAAGCGGGGCACAAATATTTAGGCCCTGCAAAGTTATGAAAGTGTACAGTGTACTGGTGGTTTTGTTTATTTGAGTGGTTGAAAGTGGTTTTTGATAAAATTGTTGAGCGTTGCGGAAGCCAAACAACCAAACCAACGTGCTACAAGAAATTAAATCAAACGAACGTCGAGAAAAAGCCAAACGAACCCAATCAATACCACAAACACAAACAACCAATTTTAACATGGTTCGGCAAGTTGCCTACGTCCACAGCACAAGAAGGGGATATGTTTATCACTAATAGAGAAAAAGAGTACAAACTGAGATTACAAATCACTCGAACTCACCAATTAATCTCACCAACAAATCTCTAATTCTCCTGAGATTACAAATCACTCGAACTCACCAATTAATCTCACCAACAAATCTCTAATTCTCTCCAAACAAAACCCTAACCAATAGCTCAGATCTAATTCTCTCCAAACAAAACCCTAACCAATAGCTCAGAAAATACATCTTTTCTGTGCTTCAAATATCCTTAATTTTCTTCTTAATTCTCTCTTCCAATTATTCCATATATATAGAAATCCTAAAAACATAAACATATTAGGAATTCTAAAACAAAAACAAAACAGATTAGGAATCCTAATAACCTGTTACCAAAATAGATTTGGAATCATGTTATCAAAATAGATTAGGAATCCCAATAACATATTACCAAAACAAATTAGGAAACATATTAGGAACCTGCTATCCAACAATTCTCCACCTCGGCGAAGTTTTTTCAAAACTGAGTCGACACCAATACCAACCAAACGTCCCACTTGTTGCATCCAGTATGAAGTGGAACAAATCCACGACAACGGACTCAATCCACAACAAGTCGAGAACCCAAACGAAAATGAGAACAAACTCCAAATGTCTGTATCAACTCACCAAACCGGCCGCATCATAAATGACTGCCTACGTATCCTCTTGCCCAAGGAATCAAGCATTCACGTAGTTCACCCAAACAGCCTCTAGAGGCCCTCAATCAAATAGAAAAGTTTATAACTTTTCACCAATATCACCAATGGATCTGCAATTGATAGCGCTCTCAATGGCCCCAAACTGAAACAAATCAAACACCTCCACCTGAGGTGAACCAATAGCCGTATCCAAAACATGTCCACCAGCTGCACTCGAATCCAAAATCAACTCATCATCTGCATCTAAATCCAAACGATCTCTAAACTGTGTCACCTCAGCTAGAATCTCAAACGATGCAGTGTGATCTAGAGTATGTGGAGTAATCTTCACCCAATGTGAAGTAGCATCACCCTCCACCCGCTGCGATATCCCAATGATCTGATCAACACTCTTCACCTGCCGAGAGTCAAATGTGACATACCTGCTCAGAACAAAATCAGAAGCTCCTAACTGATAATCAAATGAACCTCTGAATCCCAAACGTGCAATCGGATTAAATCTCACATCCTCGATGTGACCAAATGTTGGGCAACCAAATATCCGACGCAACCCAAAATCTGAAGCAACTTTACCAGATCCAAAATCTCCACACGCAGCACTCGGCAACCTATGATCAAGATGACCCAAATATATCGAAGCTCCAAAACCAAAACCAATGTTAGACAACCAACGCTGATACCCCTCCAGTAAGGAACGACTCATCAAAACCGCCATTTCATCTCGTCACCCCAATGTCTCCACATCAATAAAGTGTCTCAAACTGCCATAGAGCTCGGCACAAATGCAAGAAAGACCCCCTACCAAAGTTAGAACAACGGGTTACCTTTCTGCCAATACACTTCTTCCAATTGATGTTGACTTCTAGCACTTCACACCAACGTGACCTGGTTGCAACCCATTAATGCCTAGAACAATCCCCAACTACGAAAATCAAATACTGATTACCTCCTAACTGCGATTGAGTAAGAGTATTACAAAAGTATCATCATTTCATTGTATTCCGGGATAGGAAGATAAAACCTATTGCCGCAGAACGATTGAATAATACTATTACAAAAGTATCGTTATTGCATAAGGAGATGTACATATGTAAGTATTATTTGTCGTATTTTGCTTTCATATTGGTTTCCCGCGATTAGGGTATTTCCTTTAAGATCGTGGCTTACATGACATGGCTTATGATTGATTTTTTTTTTTTTTTTTGCTCTGGATGAGATCCCTCTTATGTCAGAGCTGTCTACCCGAGTGTAATTGAGATGAGATATTTATTCTACATGTTTGAGGTTTGGAGTGTTTTCCTTTGGTTTATTGCTTTCATTCATAGGGTTTGGAGTTAGTACTTAGGGAGTCACAATTTGAGACATGCTATATACATGAGAGTTTTCTTGTTTGGATTATTTCGCTCGACGTACTAACTCTCGTGTTGTGATTTCCTAAATATTAACTTCCAGTTAGAATTTTATGAATGATTTCATATGTATATGTACTAACTCTATTTTCTATATACTCCTACCCCTTCCCCTGGGGAGAGGTAGAGATGATCTCGCTATAGCGTTTTGACGCTCGTTGTTTTCTCCCCTTTCAGGCAGCGAGTCAGACGCACAGAGAGTCGCAGGTTGATGGGATTTCCTTATAGATTCCATCTAGCTATTTATTATTTAGTAGTTATTTTAAAACTCCACAGTTAGTTGTTTATGTTCAGACTCTAAACTTGTATTTTATTTTGTAGAGGCTGAGAGCCATAGTGATATTTTATTTGACTCATTGTACTTGAGGTTTATTTCAGACTCAGAGGTATTTCTACTCTATTTTAGTTAGGCTTACTGATGACTATTCTCATGCTTCCTCTGTGTATATCTGGCTTTACTCTATTTCTTTTATTTGCCTGTCTGTACCTTCACCTATTTGTTGTTTCCACTAGAGAGATAATAATTGTGATTGTGAAACATGTCGTAGCACGGTGTTTGGTACTTAACAGGTTTGACATTCTGGGTTTCGTCTTAGACTGCAGCCTCGCACGAAACCTGGGGCGTCACACCCTTGCTTTAAATGAAGTTCTTTTGCCACACAAAAAGCAATTTGTTGTGTTTGTTCCTCTCTTTAACCCTGTCAATGAGTCTCCAAAAATTAGCACCTTAAAAGCTTAAAAGCATTGGAGATTTCCCATGAAATTGAAGAATGTTCCGTATAGAATGCATATTTGCTTAACCCTCGTGGTCTGAGGGTGAAGAGAATGAGGTACTTTTGTGCATTCAGTTGTGAACTAAGGACAAGTTTGTTGCTACCACTTATTCTGTTTATTCCTCTCCATTCGTCATGTATTGATGGCTAAGGGGCTGTTTGGTTGTTGTTGGTAAAATTGTGTATTTATGACACAACTTGAAAAGTTGTTGTCCATTTGGTTGTTGTTGGTAAAATTGTGTATTTATGACACAACTTGAAAAGTTGTTGTCCACCTCATCAATTTCACTTGTATACTTTTCTTTGTTTGTTTTTTTGTCCACCTCATCAATTTCACTTGTATACTTTTCTTTGTTTGTTTTTGATTCCATTGGAATCATAAATTATTTGTTTGGTTTGCAAATGCAACTTTAATTGTTTGTTTGGAAAGTGTAAAAAAGTTATCCATACTCAAATGATCATATTGGTTGGAATTATTTTTTATTATTTTTTTCTGACTTCAATGTCAGCTTTCTTCTAAAATCATGTCTTTTTTTTATGAAATCACTTTACAAGCCACATCAGCATATGAAATCACTTTACACTATTTTCACAACTACAAACAAACAATTGAAAGTGATGAAAGCTGACATTGGGACCCACTTTTTACACTTTCCATTCTTTTACATGGTAAAAACATACAACCAAACAGCCCCTAAGTTGCATGGGTAGGGGGTACTGGTACGAGACAAAACAAATTTGTGAAGGTTAGGGTATGGGGACATGGCTATGTATAAGTATGTTTATGTATATTTATATGCATTAAAATTAATAAATTGCATTAGATCAGTATTGTATTTTTATTTACATAGGATCAATATATAAGAAATAGATGTAAAGTGTAGGATATACATTTAATAAGTGTATATGAAGTATTTTAAATTAAAACATGTATTATATAATTGAGTATACGCCTGAATAAACGTATGCATATATTTAAGAAGTGTTCAAGAAGTTTCGGTACGTTTGGTACGGGTACGTGTTGGTACGGGTACGGCTTCTAGGAGAAGTACCCAGGTAACATATATCCATGATAATTTTTATGTGTTCATCATTAATCTTTGGTAACTGTTGAGCTAGGACTATGGAACTGTCTAGAGGGACAAATTTTAGGTGATGCATACTAATGTGGCACTAGGATGAGGATCAAATAATATATTTGTCAGAACAGATCTAAATCATAAATAAGTCAGAGAATAGTAAAATATCAGTGAGGGCCTGTTTGTTTTGAGTTTTTGGGAGGGGAAACTCTGCCACAATTCTGACCAGCTTTCAAGCCAAAACGCCTCAATTCTGACAAAAGTCAGAATTGTGGCAGGGGTTTTCCTCCCAAAAGAAAGAAACAAACGCGCCCTGATAGTACCGCTTGCAATTTGCATCAGGCATCTTTTGTAGATGATAAAAGGTGCTTTCTGTTAAATATTTGAACTTTTTAGATTGGTGAATATCTAGCATCTTTAAAGTGAAATGCATAGATATGGAAGGCTGCTTTGCTCCTTTAGTGCAAATTTAAGTTGACCATGGAAACGAAAAGATTCTAATATGTTCCATCGTGCAAATTTGTAGATTGGGAATATGTATCGACAACTGGGCTCTCAATAACTTTAATATTCTGTGAGAAGCACGCTACATTCTTGCTTTCAGTATGTTTAACTCTTTGATATGAGATGGTTTTACCAAATCATAGCTTGGTATATGTACCACTTGCAAGCTGCAACAAACATCTTTTTTTTGGACTAACTGTGAAAACCTCAACAAGATATGGTTGGTGCTTTTCTCCTTTAGTGTAAAGTTAAGTTGACTATGGAAAAGAAAAGATTCTAATATGTTCCATCGTGCAAATTTGTAGATTGAGAATATGTATTCACAACTGGGCTCTAGGTGCCTTTAATTTCTGTGAGTTGTAAGGAAAAATAGGCTACATTCTTGCTTTTTGTATGTTTTTAACTCTTCGATATAAGATGGTTTTACCAAATCATAGCTTGCTACATGTACCTCTTGCAAGTTGCAACAAACTTCTTTTACTGGTTAATGGCAGGACTAACTGTAAAAACTAAAAACCTCAACAGGATATACTTAAGCTAGACAAGCAACTTGGTTATTTCTTATTATTCTTGAGCTACTTAAGTTGGCTCTCAGTTTCAAGTCCCATTCAAAAGTTGAAACAGGGATACCTTGCCTGATGCTTATTTGCTTTGATTTGTCAATTCTGTTGTATGATACTCTTTTTGCTTGTCTGGTGGTTATGCCTTTTGCTTCAATGGTATGCCACAGTGAATAACATAACAATCTGTCGATCTTTACCATGATTGGTACGATCTGAATGTTTTCTCGATTCTGTGGAATGTCACTAATGCTGCCGCCTTAAGGAGCATTAAAGTTGCCCTGTAGTTAGCACATTACATTATGGTACCAGGTAATGTTTCTCTAAGTAGTATGTTCTATTTGTGTTGCAGATCAAGGATGGATTTGCCGAAGGGAAGGATCTTGTCACGACCGTCATGTCTGCAATGGGGGAAGAACAGATATGTGCGGTAAATGATATCGGTCCCAAAAATTGAGAGCCTTTCAATATTTCAACTATGGCGCAAGTACCTGGAGAGAAACTTCAATCGGAGTGACCTTAATAGGCAAAAATATGAGAGAGACCTGGGAGTCCTGTTGACAAATGTTCTGCTGGTAACTTTGTCATCGAGCGATAGGAAGCGATGTTGATCCTTGCTATGGTGGATTAGAAGTTCTGAGAGGTTGGATTTGCAGAGTCTGCTGTTTTCATCAAGGCGGATTGTATGTGGATTTTGTATGGATTTGATGTGTAGGAACACAAGGTTAATTTTTTTCCATGCAATTATTTGCCTGAAAAGAACATAATAATTAGCAAACTCAGAGATTAACTTTTAATCCGTAATTGCTTTTTATAGGGCTAACGTGCCGATCCCCCGAGAGAAATATATTTTATGCTGTTTTCTAGAACTAGTAGTATCAAGAAAAAAATATTAAACAAATAAAAACAAATAACCATATTGGATATCGGAAGAATCTTAGCCGCACTGACGTTTTAACAGTTTGGTGAGGGAACAGATGGTTAGCCCTTAACCCTATCAATTCCATTATTATTGCAATCTACACAGAGAAGTATCTCTTTAATTGGGTGAGAAAAGGGAGTACATTTAGTCTCGTCCGTATTTAATCTGGAATCTAGTTTGTCAACTTCATCACTAATACTAACCTAGATGAGAGCCTAAATTTTATTTGGCTAAAATTAGGTTAAACTCTAAACTAGGTTCTTGTTAGATCAATTTTGGAACCTTAATCGGGTTAACATAAATTCGTGTGACACTAATCGCAAATTATCTGGATGGTTGGAAGGTTTCAATATAGCTACTATATTCTTAGGTTCGATTCGGACCGAGTTACATATTTTAAAAAATGAGTGTAGAATTCTTTCTTGAAAATTGTCACGACTCAACGTGGACTCTAATTTTTTTTTTTTTTTTTTTTGTGAAAGTACAAAAATAAGGTTAGCTTTGTAGTAGAGTATTAAAAAGATTAAAAGTGCCCCCAAGAAATCGGATCCAGATCCGAACCGCTTAACAACCGGATTGGATATGGATCTCAAATATAGACCCGAACCCGGTCCTTAGCCGCCGTAGCAGTGACCCATAATAGCAAAAATATCTTGTTGGGCCTAAATTCCACCTCCGCGATCGGATCCGGAACCAGGAAACCAATCCGACGGTCCTCGACCATCATCGTCATCAAATCACAAACCCTAGCTCTCATATAATCTGCCCCCTCCCCCCATTTCCCCCCTCTCTCTCTCTCCTGCCCCCATTGCTGCCGCTTTCTCACTCCTCCCTTCAACAAAGAGAGAGTAGAGAGAGAGAGAGAGAGAAAGAAGAAGGAGATCGATGTCGGACGAGGAGCACCACTTCGAATCGAAGGCCGACGCCGGCGCATCGAAGACCTACCCTCAGCAAGCTGGCACCATTCGAAAGAACGGCTACCTCGTCATCAAGGGGAGGCCCTGCAAGGTACAATTTATTCTGTTTTTTTTTTATTTTACCCCCATTCTTTATTGACTTTTTCCCGATGCGTCTAGGGCTTGTTGATGCGTGTACGAGCTTCGATCGAAAAAAAAAAACTTGTAGGTTGATGTTCTGATGTTGCTAAATCTGGTAGATCTTAATCTTAGTGATCGATCTGTAGGGTTAGGGTTAGGGTTTGGGTTTTACTGTACAAGATTGTTGGAGGCGTTGAACTTGAGCGCACTAGATCTGATAGTATGCGAGATTATTTTTATGATTATTGCTGTAGATCTTTGTAAGTTTAGTCTTTAATCCATCTACTTCCTTTTAAAAATGCGCAAGGATGTGTTCTTGGTAACTGTATATCGAAGCGCATCGTTTGATTTGCTTGTTTTTGTGTTCGACAGTTCATTCGATGAAGTAATCCTTTACGGGACGTGTGGGATTTAGCTTGATATGATTGGTACTGGTTATTTGAGTCTAGATTGATTAGCTTATTTGTGCTTAATGTCTGTGAAGGTGTCTTAAATGAAGAGAAATGGGAAGATAAAGATGTTGAGGTGTTTTGAGGGAATTTTCAACTGTTCACTGAGGTTGAGATTTAAGGCTTTGACGCACCAAAGCCCTGCATATCTTTATTATCCTTGGCGATACCTTTAGCAATTGACTGTTCAAAAACATTGAAAATATTGACTGCTGCTGCCATTTTGTATTATCTTGCTTTGCTATTACTATTATCAGTTGCCAGTATCCTGAGAAGTTTGTTATCTGAGATTACAATTACACGAAGAAAATTTCATTTCCAAGGGATTTTGGTGTGGTTCTAAAACATGAAGGCAAAAGGGTTTATTAACAAGTTGGTGATTTCCAATTTTTTACGACGAAGTTGTAGTAAATAAATGTATAAAGCCTCGGCTATAAATTTGTTTGTAGCTTTTTTGGCTAAGCTGCATGCAATATATTGTGTGGTCCTATTGATATTGTAACTTTTGAAGATTTATTGAGAGTGCCCTTTGCTATCTCTATTCGCTCCTTGCAATGTAGGAAAAGAATGATAGGCTGCATTCTGTATCTGTCACATCTGTATGCTTAACAAAGCTTGCTTGCTGATATGATGGTTCAATTTATGTGACAACTTCTGCAGGTTGTTGAGGTTTCAACTTCCAAAACAGGCAAGCACGGTCATGCAAAGTGCCACTTTGTGGCAATTGATATCTTCAATTCGAAAAAGCTTGAAGATATTGTGCCCTCCTCCCACAACTGTGATGTAAACATTGTCTATATTTTTAATCTTTCGGAAGTACATAAATAACATGCTTTATCCAGATGATTTGATCTGTCCAATCAAAATTTTGCAGGTTCCTCATGTCAACCGCACTGATTATCAACTCATAGACATATCTGAAGATGGTTTCGTAAGTCTATTTTGTATTATCACGTAGTATTTTTTGGCATCCACCTGTATCGTGGTTTTAGTATTATATCATCTGATTAAAATCTCTTTCTTGTAGGTGAGTCTTTTGACTGAAAATGGAAACACCAAAGATGACTTGAGGCTTCCCACTGATGACAATCTCCTTACCCAGGTTAATGCCTTGCTTTAATTCTGATAGAGTAGTTGTTCGCGACATATATAAAATTGATTGACTTACACTTTATTAGTATGATTACCATATATAACATTTCTTGTACTTGTTATTTCCTTTGTTGTCTATTTTTGGAAACGTAACTAGATGCCTATGGTGGAATATTTTATCTTTACTATTTGTAGGCACTGTAGTACTATTAGGTTAAGCTTACATGGTTTCTGTTACGAAGTTCTCATGGAACATGATTGGCACGTTGCCTTGCAACTATCTGCTTATCGTTTCAGTATGACTTATGTTTATGGAATGACGGGTTTCACATATAGGACCTCTCGATGTTTTTGAAAACTTGAGAATTAGAAAAGTGCTCATCTAACTTCTTTATGTGACTTTCAAGGTTTAGCTCAAGGGTCTCATGTTAATTATTGCTGGAAGTATGGACTCCATAGTCTGGCACCAGCAATTGTCTGTCATCTTCAGCTGTGTTATTCTGGAGTTGGAAATAAAAGATTGGGGTGGAAGTGCAGAACTTTATGCTTAAATTTACATGAAAAGCAATATGGCATCCTCATTTCCTGTAGAGAGGATGAATTTTGGAGCATATAGATTGTTTGAATCACCTTAAGATGTCTTTATTGTTCCTTATTCTACTTCTTTCATATTCTTTGGACTTCTGCATCATTCTGGCTAGGGAATTTACTCTCCCTCTTTTCTCTGAGCAAGAGGCCATTTAATGTCTTTATTGTTCCTTATTCCACTCTTCCGTTCTCCTTTGAATTTCGTATCTCTCTGGCTTGGGAATTAGTCTCCCTTTTTCTGTGCAGTGAGATGCCATTTAATGCTATTCTGTATGTTAAGTCTGAGTGAGTGATTTTGGTTTAATGGGTAAACTTGGATGTCTAAACAGTCTAAAAACAACTCTATAATACGATGTATGCTCTAATATAGATATCCACATGGGCTTAGGATGAAGCATTTTCCAAACAGCAAGACTACATCGTAAAGCGGCTGTAATAGATTGGAGTGGATTTCCTTTTAGTATTGGAGTGGATTTCCTTTAAACTTATCTGCATTTTTTAGTTCTCAGTTTTCATTTTTTACATTTCAAGAAGTGGCTGCAGCTACATGCTGGCTTTACTAGGTTTATATAGTTTGTGAATATTTTATCTGAGTTCAGATATGTGATATAGCAGACCTTATGTTTCTAAAATTTCTTCGCTTTTAAGTGAAGAAATTTGTTTAAATGGGACTATAAGTTTCAATTGGCATTTGGCTTTCCGCATGACATGGGACTATCTAGTATCTGTGGCGTGTAGCCCTTTATCATATGTTTAAACATCATCTTGTAACACCCTTTATCATATGTTTAAAAATTATCTTGTAAGGTTTGTCACGAGGTAGGTATTTACTAGCACTAGTCAAGACATAAGCACATGCTCTTAGCATATGGTTTTTCGCATTATTCATATGAGAATTGGATAAATATGTTCCTGTGCTCCTAAAACGAGCTGCGCTTAATATGAAAATGAATACTATATGACTCCTAGGTTGCTTCTCTCATTTGTTTCCTCGCCTCATCCTTCCTAAAATGAGTTGCGCTTAATATGAAAATGAATACTGTATGACTACCAGGTTGCTTCTCTCGTGTGTTTGATTTCCTTTAGGTTGGGATCATCTTTTAGATTAGAATTTCAGTGGTATTCTTTATGTGTGGGTTAAACAACTTGAAGATTTGTATTTTTTCCATTTCAATTAATTATACTGTTAAAACGAATCTGGGCATTTTAATTAAATATCGCCTTTCCTAATGCTGTTTTCTCATGTGTAATTTCTCAGGAATCATTTCTCTTCCATTCATCAAAATAGTTGATTAAGTAACTAACAATTCTGTTAACTATTATTTTGGGGATTGAGGATGTCTTTTATACTAGTTCTCTTGACCTTTTTCGTTTCTTTTAATATTATATATAGGCTTTTAGGATGTTAATTGCTACACGAAAAATGATTTGGTTTATATTGGTACCCTCAAAATTGAAATCTGATCATTGTCCCATCACAATTTAGGAATTTTGGAGCTAGTGATTATGCGATCAAATGATTATTATCTATTTTAACAATACAGTGAACTTATGTCAACTTAAAATACTATTCATATATCACTATTTCATTTTTAGTAATTTTTCTGTTGATCAAATAGACGCAAGGTTTATGCTATTGATCTTAAAATCTTGAGACGGTGTTGTGGTTAAAGTTCTGTTGCGTTCTAACAGCGAAGACTGAAACACTATTTTGAGACAGCATCGAGTTTGCTGACGTCTTTGGCATTTGTATTGTTAATAATTTTTCTATTGATCAGATGGACGTGTGGTTTGCGCCATTGATCTTAGAATGTCGAGACGGTGTTGTGGGTAAATTTTCGTTACTTTCTGAAAATGGATTCTGAAATTCTATTTTTAAATAATATAAAATATTACATTATATTATTTTATTTCACCTAACCTTATTCCACCTACCCCCTCTTATCAACCCTCCTCTCATCACTCTATAAATACCCCCTCCCCTTGCACTCTCCTCACACGACAGAAAGAGAGAGAAGAGAGAGGAGAGAGAGAAAGAGGAGAGAGAAAGAGAGAAACAAAGAGGAAGAAAAGAATGGGAAAGAGGAAGGGGATTTTAGCTATTTCGGAGTGCAAGAACGGATATGGATTTTAATTTCAGAGATCAATAAAGGCAAGTTCATCTCTTTTCAAACCCATCCCCAGTTAGTTTTGATTTTGATAAAAAAATTGATGAATAGAATTTTAGATCAAATCCCAAAAATGGAGAAAAGACGTGATTTTGATGAAAATTGATGAATAGAATATTAGATCAAATCCCTAAAGATATGATCTTGCTAGCTAGAACTATACATGTCCACCGTCAAAATTACTGTTATTATTCATACGTACATGTACTATTCATAAGTATTGTTACTATTTATATGTATGAATACTATTATTGTTACTATTCATGTTTACGGTACTATTACTGTTATTATTCAAAAGTATTGTTACTATTCATACATGTAGGACTATTCATAAGTATGGTTATTATTTATACGTATATGTACTATTCATAAGTATTGCTACTATTCATACATACAGGACTATTCGTAAGGTTGTAATTAATTATTACCCATACGTGATCGAAACAATAATTGTGATAATCCTCTTCGAAATGTTCATGTATGTGTCACAACTCTGTTTGTGTACACTTTTGGTTGCGTGTGTATCGTCGTACAGTTTGAACCCTGTGTTCACGATTTAACATGCAAGAGAAAACACCTCAAACAAAAGAACACAAGTATCGTACTCGTGAACAGTATCATACGTATGAATAGTAACAACGCTTATAAAAATAGAAACAATATTTATGAATAGTACCCGTACGCATGAACAGTAACTGTATTTGTGAATAGTCTGTGCGTATGAATGGTAACAATACTTTTGAATAGTAATTGTAGTCACTGTTATAAATAGCGGTAAATAGCCCCGCAATAGCGACGCTAATAGCGTTAGCGGTCCCTTCCCGCGACGCTATCGCCCGCTATGCTATCACGCAATAGAGGTGACATATTGCGGAATATGTCTGTTCGCAAAAACGGCCAATAGTGTGTCATAACGGTAAATAGTGAGCGATTGCATTTGAAATTTGCTTTTTGACTGCTATTTAAAAGCGGTTTTAGGCTTATTTTTTAAAAATTAAACTCAACCCTTGATCATTGCATTCCACCGTCTCCTGTGATTTTCAGCATACTCCCGTCACCTCTCATAGCCTCTGGCACCTACCTTGATACTTTCTCTCACCTCCTTCACCGTGAGCTCCTATTAGGGCAATCCTGTCACCGCTAAGTTTTTCTTCCCGAAGACGACTTTTTGACTCCTCCAGTCATCTTCGGTATTACGTAATGGTTACATGCCTATTTCATGTTTAGGATCTCTTTAAATCATCTAATATGTACTTTTAGATTTCTTAGATTTTTCTTTTTTAGTAATTATACATATCTAAATTAGACCGCTATTTGACTTTGCGCTTTTTACCGTTATTTTGCTGTAATAGCCTGAAATAGCCTTAGCGATGCCTCACCGCTACACGACAATAACCTTTATCATACTTATGAATGCTCCCGTACGTATGAATAGTAACTGTACTTATGAAGAGTACTGTACGTATGAATAATAATAGTACTTACCCGTACGTATGATCAGTAATAGTATATGTACGTATGAATAGCAATAGTCTTGTACGTATGAATAGTAACAAACTTTTGAATAGTAACATTACTTATAAATAGTATATATATACGTATGAATACTGACCGTGCTTATGAGTGATCCTGTAGGTATGAATAGCAACAACACTTTTGATTAGTAACTGTACTTATGAATAATACTTGTACGTATGAATAGTAACGGTAATAGTTTCCTATACGTATGAATAGTAACTGTACTTATGAATAGTACCGTACGTATGAATAGTACCTGCACTTGTGGATAGTAACAATAATAATATCGTGCAAATGAATAGTAACAGTATTTATGAAAAGTATCCGTACGTATGAATAGTAATAATAATTTTGGCAGTGGATAGATATGTATAGTTTTAGCTAGCATGATCATATCTTTAGGGAAAATCCAATATTGTATTCATCAATTTTTATCAGTATCACATCTTTTTTTTATTTTGGGGATTTGATCTGAAATTCTATTCATCAATTTTTTTTATCAAGATTAAAACTAACTAGGGATATGTTTGAAAAAAGATGAACTTGTCTTTATTGATCTCTGAAATTAGAATCCTTATCCGTTCTTGCTCTTGAATAGCCAAAATTCCTTTCCTTTTTTTCACTCTTTTCTTCCTCCTTTCTCTCTTCTTTCTCTTTTTTTGCCGTGTGAGGAGAGTGCAAGGGGAGGGGGTTATTTATAGAGTGATGAGAGGAGGGTTGGTGAGAGGGGGTAGGTGGAATAAAATAATATATGTAATATTTTATATTATTTAAAAATAGGATTTCAGAGTTTGTTTTCAACAAGCAACAAAAATTTACCCACAGCACCGTCTCGACATTCTAAGATCAATGGCGCAAATTACACGTTCATCTGATCAATAGAAAAATTATTAAAAATATAAATGCCAAAGATGTCAGCGGACTCGATACCATCTCAAAATAGTATTTCAGTCTCCGTTGTCAGAACGCATCGAAACTTTAACCACAACATCGTCTCAAGATTCTAAGATCAATGGCATAAACCTTGCGTCTATTTGATCAATAAAGTTAGTAAAAATGAAATAGTTATATATGAATAGTATTTTATTATTTAAAAATTGGGTTTCAGACTCCGTCGTCAGAACTCAACGAAACTTTACCCACAACACAATATTGATGTTCTAAGATCAATGGCGTAAATCTCGTGCCCATTTGATAACAGAAAAATTATTAAAAATAAAATAGTAACAGATTTCAGTAGACTCGCGATACCGAGGCTGAAACTGCGAATCGATCTCAAATCGATTCCAAACTGATCCATTCATCCACGAATGATCATTAATCATAATAAAATTTATTTATTATTATTTAAAATTATTTTCCAAATTTATAGGGTTTTACATACCGAGCCAGGGGCGAGGAACATGTTCCTTCGCATCATATCTTGCATGGATCTAGGTATCATCAATAGATAGAAAGTTTGATGGATGGTCCACTTAAGTTGACATAAGAATCTCTCTCTCTCTCTCTCTCTATATATATATATATATATATATTCCTCTTCACTATTTTTTCCTATATGCAGCCTAGTATCTCTCTGTAGGCATTCTCCCTTCCTCATGTCCAATAGTCTTCTTCTAATGAAAATAAGGTTGTTTTAGCAGGAAGAAAGTTGGTTTATATGATTTAACCCGAACAGGAGTGATTATATTTTGTACAGATCGGCCCCAGATTATGGGAACTAGTACCTGGTGCTAGTTATTCCTCGGGGAATCTGGATTCCTTGGGAAATACGTGCTATTCATTCTTTGTTTATGCAGTATATTTTAACTAAGAACTTTTTGTTTGTTTGTTTTTGGTTGCAGATCAAGGATGGGTTTGCTGATGGGAAGGATCTGGTTGTGACTGTGATGTCTGCTATGGGAGAGGAACAGATCTGTGCTCTGAAGGACATTGGCCCCAAAAACTAAGCTTCTCGAGCTTTTTAGTATCAAGACCATATATAGACTCCTCCTTAAGTTTGTACCCTAATAACAGATGTTATAGGTGAGATTTGGGTTTTGATTGATAGATATCCTTCGGTTTATGCGTCCAAGTAGAGACTATGATGACCTCTGGAAAAGAATTGTGATGTCCTTGTGGATTTTATCGAAGATTGATCTTTTATCTTTCAAGTATTTAAAAAACACATTGACAATGCTTTTACCTTTATGCTACCGTCTATCGTATATGGTATCGTTTTATAGCTTCTTCTTGTTTTCGGTATGTACCTGCTACTTATTGCAGGGAAGTGTTGCCAGAAATTACTGCTTCGCAGTTTTTTGCTTTGAGCCCATTTTTCATGCTGGATAATGCAGTTTTTTGCTTTTAGCCCATTTTTCATGCTGGATAATGCAGTTTTTTGCTTTGAGCCCATTTTTCATGCTGGATAATGCAGTATGTTGTTATATTGTTTGTTTTATCTTGTATAGGCATCAGCCAGGCTATGTAAGCTTTTAGGTAGTGGTGCATGTTGCTCTTACTTTCAACTTTATCTCATATATATATATATATATATATATATACATATACTGCAAAGGAAGGGCTGCTTACATTCTTATTAGTCTGATGCAATACTGTAATGTTTATATTTATTTTATTTTGTATTTTTTAAAGACTTGACATGCTGGTTAATTGTTAATCCTGAAGAATATTTGGAATGGAATTATAGCACAAGAGTGATTAACGTAATTTCGTGACAGCATTGTTTGTAATTGTGTGGCGATGGTCTTTAATTGTGTTTATAATTTTACCGTAGAAAATGTATTATTAAATCCAAATACAATGTTATGTTATATCAAAAAAAATAAACCTCTGCTGGATTCACAGTTACTGTCTTAGGAAATGATTTCCATCCCAGATCAAAGTGATTGTTTGTCTGCTATTGTAAAATGACGTACATTTTCGACTGATTATTGGTATTTATTTTAGTTTTTTAATTATTAACAAATTTTGAAATACTTTTACAGATATATAAGAGTTGTTTTCCTAAGAGGGTAGAAAGAATACAGGAGCTAGAAAAAAGAATGTTAGTCATGGATGTGATCTAGAAGATATGCCCAAGCAAAAATGAGAGGATGTTGAGTTGGTGGACACCAACTCAATGTTCATCGCCCATTGTTTTTCTTGTAGTGCGTAATTGGTTTGGGATCTAATAACAATTTCAGGAACTAATTTCAAAATAATTTAAGGGTTGCAATTTAAACGGCTTGCAGGACTAATTTTGAAACATCAAAGATCTAAGAGACTAATATCAGAGGGGAAAAGGGGGAACTTTTAGAAATTTAATAGTACCACCACGGCTCAATTTACCGTCAACAAACAGAGCTCACAGATACAGGGCCAATTGGCTAATGTCAATTACATTACCCTCTTTGGATAACACATCAACCATTCACCAAAAAGATTCCTTTACCCCTTTTTATCTCTACCCTTTTTATATTCTCCTCCACATATGCAGATCAGATCTCTCTCTCTCCCCCCCCCCAAAAAAAAAATTTGGAAAAAAAACATATGATGGAGGGAGGTATTTCTTGAAGGGGAGGGGGGTGCTGCATCATTCATGAAATTTTGTCGCCATTTGAGTTCTGATCAGATGCTGTATTGATTGAACCTTTATAAGCTCATCGTTGCTTTTACTATCTGGTGTTCTCTGAAGGTATTGTTTGAATACATTCATTACTTTTAACTCCAATTATACCAGAGGCCTCGCGGATGTCGCTCTTTTGATGGGATTACGCCATCGCAGCTGGCAATCTGTTCATCTTTGTTCAATTAGAAAAGGTGTGTATCTGAAGTTTTTCCAGTTATGATGATAATATGTATCAAAGTTTATAAGATGGGTTGTTAGATTCTTATGTTTCCTACCTTATGCTCTCTGATATGATTCATTCTAGTGAGGCGGAGCATCAGCGTAGTGGTTTGTACATTAGTTTTGAGTTTTTGTGTACCCAACCTGATTATTCTCGTAATTCTATCCTTGGCTAAGGCTTATTAATCCAATATCAGCATCATATATCAATCTTTTCTACTAGTACTTAAAAAAAACTTTGGTTGGCAAAATATGAACTTCTCTTTCCCCGTCCTGTATGTTGGCATAATGTAATCAAAATTGGATATGATTTGGTTGGTACCAAGAGTAGAACGTACCTACGACGAATATGAGATTATTGCAGCAGCTTGGTCCCAAGTCCTGGACCTGGATTTGCTGCATTGCAAACCTAAAATCTCAATCAGTAATGGTACCGCATCAGCTGAGTTATTTACTGGCAACAATCAAACTTTGGACTGTAACCTGATGGATATAAGATCAAACTGTCACTAAAACCCAAACTATATCACTCAACGGCAAGCTGCAGCTAAGCAATATTGCTTTCTGGCACATGGAGGACCTCTAATCAATTTCGCTAGCGATGTAAAATAATAATAATTAAAAAAAGGAAGGATATACAAGCCAGATGACAAGAATATGTAAAACCTTTATACAGAATCAAACGCATTTCATTTTCTTCCCCAGTTGCTGGGACGAGAGACCCAGTCCACCTACAGCCATTGCCAGTTCCAAATCAAGCTCCTCTAGCACAATCTCTTTGACATTTTCATCCCTCTTCTTTTCATCTTTGTTACAGTTGCTGTTTTTTGTGCACTCATCGAAACGGTAGCAGGTAATGAGATGGTCATTCGTTAAGCCTGCAGCCTGCATGAATGTGTATATGACGGTAGGGCCCACGCTTCGGAAGCCCCTCTTTATTAAGTCTTTGCTGATAACGTCTGCCTTTGGAGTCTTGACTGGGACTTGTCGAGGGTAGCGGAATCTGCTAGGGATTGGCCTGTGGTTCACAAACCCCCAGCAGTAATTATCAAATGATCCAAACTCCTCTGTAATCTGTAGTGTAGAGGAGAAGGGAGAAGACAAGTTATGATGAATGGCAAAGGAGAATTCAGAATATATATATATATATATATAGAAAATTTCGGTCTATGCAAAATTATTTATCAACGGTCAAAATGGCTAAAAATGTCCAATAATCATGGGTTATAGGTCACAATTGTGAAATTGGTCCTTGGCGAATTAATTGGCCAATGAGTCGAAAAGACTAAAAATGTGTTCCGCTGCAAACTTTTAAGAAGATAATGTTTTTTTTTTGGTAAATAAAAAAAAACATTATCTTCTTAAAAGAAGATAATGTTGGATCAGCACCAAGTACTTTATATACATTTATAATTGTTGGTTTATAAGCTAAAATATGTGCTTGCATATAAATCTGGTTACTGATAACTGAAAGAAGTTCAGGATTCTAACCCAATGGAAAATTTTGAATATTTCACAGTATTAAAGTTTTTATGTCAAAAGTTCGCTTAGAGATGCAGAGAATCTGCTGATAAAAAAATTTGGAGGCGGTTCATCTTGTTATATATATATAGAGAGAGAAAAACTTAAGTCAACTTAAGTGGACGTCCACTAAGTTTCTTATATGTTGATGATTACTTGATTGAGCTACATTGTAGATGATCCGCTCCGTTGAACTTGATCTACATATTCTAAAACCCTAACATACCAAATTTGGGTTGAACCCGTCGTGGTTTGACTCTTCATCCACTCGTATCAATTTTAACGGTTTCGAATGAATAAAACTTTTTACATGGCTCGACGGAGGGTCAAACGACGACGGGTTCACCCCAAATTTGATGTATTGGGGTTTTAAAATATGTAGATCAAGTTTAACGGAGCGGATCATCCACAATGTAGCTCAATTAAGTGATCATCAATGACTAAGAAACTTAGTGGACGTCCACTTAAGTTGACATAAGTCTCTCTCTCTCTCTATATATATATATATATATATATATATATATAGAGAGAGAGAGAGAGAGAAATGTGTATGCTTGGTACCAAGCATAAATTTTGTGCTTGGTAGTGAGTTGTCTCATTCCTATCTACTCATTCAATTGGGGGGATCACATTCAACCCATGTGAATGTGATCCCCCCATTTGAATGAGTGAAGGATAATATGTCACCTCACTACGAAGCACAAATTTTGTGCTTGGTAGTGAGGTGGCACAATCCCCTCCATTCGTTCAAATAGAGGACCACATTCACATGGGTTAAGGAGTGCATGTGGATATGCAACCATTTGAATGAGTGGAGGGGATTATGCCACCTCACTACCAAACATAATTTTTTGTGCTTGGTACCAAGCATACCCATTAATGAGTGGAGGGGATTATGCCCCCTCACTACCAAACATAATTTTTTGTGCTTGGTAAGTTAAAATCCTTATAGGATAGCGAAAATCGGGAATATATCGGGGATAAGTAGTATTTATCGGAGTGATATACCGTAGAATGCGCATAAACCCGCTTATATACATGTTATATTCTCCGTCCAATTCCCCTTTATTAAACCCCATGTTTGTCTGTTTAATCTAAGTAACTGTGCATGAAATGTTGTGCACTAACCACAGAGTTACCGTGGAACGGCTTCCGTAAAACTATGTAAATATAACCGTGACCCAGAACATGTCCAATCAAGAGAGGTGCATCGTCTAGTCGATGCTATAATAATAGTAATAGCCCAGGAAAATCTCATATCGGGATATCGATATCGAGAGCATAGCCATGCTATGAAAACACGCTTATAAATCATATTTTTGACGGAAGTCGTCTTCATGCACAGTTTAGCCTATTTGATGACATTACTGATCAACACGGATTACAACCACACAATCTAGTTCAAAGCATAGCAAAATCCAAGGTATGATATAACAACGTTCACTAAAATAATATACATTTAAAAATGGTAAGCAAACAACAGTTAAGAAGAACTAAGAAATTCATAAAGGTATGACCAAGTTAAATGTTTTGTAGACAACAAATCAAAGTTCTAGGGAACTCAGGAAAATATAAGAAGAAAAGAAAAAAAAAATTGGCTCAAGAATCGAACTATAGACGCTAACATGAAACCCAAGCTACCTAACCACTTTGACCCAAAACTTTCTCCTTTGCATGCCACCATCGAAAATTTAAACCATAATGTCGTTGGTAGTAACCAAATAACCCAAATATGCTTAAGAAAATTAATTAGTCTTTGTTAAAACATCCTGAAAACTATCTACTCTGTTGTATAAACTATATGGCCGAAAATATCAATTAATACTAATATTATTATTACAAAGAGGGAAACAATTAAGTCCAAACTAATTTAGTCAGAAAATTATTCAAACCATTAAGTATATATATATTTAGCAGCCAAAAATTTTCAACAATAAAATAATACGAATTTTAAGAAAAATTAAAGATATTAACTGAGGAATTTTTTTTCTATTTTAGAGAAATAATATTCAAATCCTAGAAGTACTTTCCTCTGAAACTAATATAAACTAAAATTTCCAAGGCATGATTGTACCTATTAAGATCCATACATTAAAAAGTTCATTATTGGAATCAAATAAATACAACAAAGTTTCAAAGATATATATTAAGAATATAAACCTTTTTATTTATATCTGAAAAAAAAACAAATATGTAACTCACAACCCATAATCATTTATCTATGACTAAGAGCTTAAATCAACCGAAGGACATAGTTCCATATTGCCGAAAATAACCACTGCACCAAATCATTATAACTTGTAACAATGGCTTTAAACACAGCAACATACCTAAGGATCTACACGTAGGAACACATTCATGTCAAGTTTATCTAAGAGTCATAAGCATAAATTGTGAAGTGTGAAGCTAATATATAATATTTCATAGGGAAAACACCATACAGTTTGATATTTCTTATTAAGTTATGGTCATGTGTACGTTTGAAAATCTTATGACCTGTGGAAGAACAACAGGAACTCCAAACCCTATGCATACACATAAATCAAGTGAAGTGAAGTGTACAACAGATCAGAAAAAACAAGTGAGAACATGTTTGCACAAGGGAACATTTATTCCTACGGAAAATAAAAATGAAACCAACTACAATCTATTCACTATGACCTCTAGAAAGGAACACTGGTATTTAAATAAGGAATTACAAAAGAACTTAAAGATAAGAATTTCTTGCATGAAAGAAAACTCTAAATAATAATAATAAAAACCAAGGAAAGGATGTTTGCCGATGATAAGATGATGAACCCCAAATCCCAAAAGAAAATAGTTCTAGTTGTATTCGTGTTAGTTATTATTACAGTCGTGTTAGTTCTAATTGGGTCACATTAGTTCTAATTCATACCATGTTAGTTTTAGTTGTATTCATGTTAGTTCTATCTCCAGTTGTGTTAGTTCTAATTGGAGTCACATTAGTTCTATCGCAGATCATATTAGTTCTATTTCCAGCTAGTGTTAGTTCTATTTAATGTTCATATTAGTTCTAATAGAGGTCACGTTAGTTCTAATTGGAGTCATGTTAGTTCTATTGTAGCTCATGTTAGTTCTAATTGGCTTCATGTTAGTTCTACTTTATATCTTTTATCACATTTTATGAGGATGGTGGGGATTGTGCCACATAGACGACAGGAGGAAAATCTCCTCTTATGACAAGGATACCCATTAATCTCATATATATATATATATATATATATATATATATGAGATTAATGGGTATCCTTGTCATAAGAGGAGATTTTCCTCCTGTCGTCTATGTGGCACAATCCCCACCATCCTCATAAAATGTGATAATCAATTTTTTTTTATGAAGGAGGCCCACATCAGGTGGAAATTGGAAAAAAAATTCCTTAAGGCCCATGAGTTACCTAGAAAGCCCACAAAAATCATAACTCCACATTCCCTTCATTTTTACCCACGTAGGAGATGTGGGAATGGATCTCGGAAGAATATCTCCACTAATTGTAACTAGCCAACACCTAACCCCATCATCTTTTAAACCCCTCATCTCCCCTTTTTCCTTTTTCAAGATACGGAAGAGAAACCTACAGAGAGCAAGACAAGGAGAAAGAAGAGTTTTGGATTTTCTTTTGGGATTTGGGGTTCATCATCTTATCATCGGCAAACATCCTTTCCTTGGTTTTTATTATTATTATTTAGAGTTTTCTTTCATGCAAGAAATTCTTATCTTTAAGTTCTTTTGTAATTCCTTATTTAAATACCAGTGTTCCTTTCTAGAGGTCATAGTGAATAGATTGTAGTTGGTTTCATTTTTATCTTCCGTAGGAATAAATGTTCCCTTGTGCAAACATGTTCTCACTTGTTTCTTTCTCTGTTGTACACTTCACTTCACTTGATTTATGTGTATGCATAGGGTTTGGAGTTCCTGTTGTTCTTCCACAGGTCATAAGATTTTCAAACGTACACATGACCATAACTTAATAAGAAATATCAAACTGTATGGTGTTTTCCCTATGAAATATTATATATTAGCTTCACACTTCACAATTTATGCTTATGACTCTTAGATAAACTTGACATGAATGTGTTCCTACGTGTAGATCCTTAGGTATGTTGCTGTGTTTAAAGCCATTGTTACAAGTTATAATGATTTGGTGCAGTGGTTATTTTCGGCAATATGGAACTATGTCCTTCGGTTGATTTAAGCTCTTAGTCATAGATAAATGATTATGGGTTGTGAGTTACATATTTGTTTTTTTTTCAGATATAAATAAAAAGGTTTATATTCTTAATATATATCTTTGAAACTTTGTTGTATTTATTTGATTCCAATAATGAACTTTTTAATGTATGGACCTTAATATGTACAATCATGCCTTGGAAATTTTAGTTTATGTTAGTTTCAGAGGAAAGTACTTCTAGGATTTGAAATATTATTTCTCTAAAATAGAAAAAAATTCCTCGGTTAATATCTTTAATTTTTCTTTAAATTCGTATTATTTTATTGTTGAAAATTTTTGGCTGCTATATATATATATATATATATATATATACTTAATGGTTTGAATAATTTTCTGACTAAGTTAGTTTGGACTTAGTTGTTTCCCTCTTTGTAATAATAATATTACTATTAAGTGAAATTTTCGGCCATATAGTTTATACAACAGAGTAGATAGTTTTCAGGGTGTTTTAACAAAGACTAATTAATTTTCTTAAGCATATTTGGGTTATTTAGTTACTATCAACGACATTATGGTTTAAATTTTCGATGGTGGCATGTAAAGGAGAAAGTTTTGGGTCAAAGTGGTTAGGTAGCTTGGGTTCCATGTTAGCGTCTGTAGTTCGATCCTTGAAACCAATTGTTTTTCTTTTCTTCTTATATTTTCCTGAGTTCCCTAGAACTTTGATTTGTTGTCTACAAAACATTTAACTTGGTCATACCTTTATGAATTTCTCAGTTCATCTTAACTGTTGTTTGCTTACCATTTTTAAATGTATATTATTTTAGTCAACGTTGTTATATCATACCTTGGATTTTGCTATGCTTTGAACTAGATTGTGTGGTTGTAATCCGTGTTGATCAGTAATGTCATCAAATAGGCTAAACTGTGCATGAAGACGACTTCCGCCAAAAATATGATTTATAAGCGTGTTTTCATAGCATGGCTATGCTCTCGATATCGATATCCCGATATGAGATTTTTCCTTGGCTATTACTATTATAGCATCGACTATACGATGCACCCTTCTTGATTGGACATGTTCTGGGTCACGGTTATTTTTCATAGTTTTGCAGAAACCGTTCCACAGTAACTCTGTAGTTAGTGCACAATATTTCATGCACAGTTACTTAGATTAAACAGACAACATGGGGTTTAATAAAGGGGAATTGGACGGAGAATATGACATGTATATAAGAGGGTTGTGCGCATTCTTGATATCTTGGTATATATATATAAGAAATAAGGGTCCATCCTGTCTTGAAGCCGTGTTCCCGGGACGGTTTACGGGAAACCGACTTATATACATGAAATATTCTTCTCTAATTCAAATAACTTCTAAAATACTAATGTGCTTGTGTGTCTCATGATTGCCCTTGTTTGATATCTATTATTAGCATTTTATTTATCATCTTTAATTGAGTTGTCATTTTTCTTTATCCATGCCACATTACACTTACACGCACATATTTTCTTCATTTTACATGCTTGTTGGGAGTTTTCTGACTCCCCTGGGGTTTGCATGCCCCAGACTCGGGAACTGTTCTTTCTTCGCAGGATCGTGAGTATTTCGAGGAGCAGGCTCAGCAGCAGTGATCACCGTTCATTCCATTCAGTTCTCCATTTCACTTATCTTAGGTAGTTATTTGATTGAGATTTTCTTGTAAATCTCTTGTGGATCTTCAGACTATGAATGTTTTATTTTCTTCCATTTTGGATAGTTGTGGACTCGTCACAGACCTCTGAAATTTTAGATATTTCTTTATCTATCAGTTTCCTTTTATCTTGATTACATGCTCTATGGTGTAGTTTTGGTTTTATATTGATATACAGGATGATCTAGAGGCGTGAATGTGACCGTAGGGTTACATTGCCGGCCGAGTCACGTTCCAAACTATTACATTTTGGAACCAGGGCGTGACATAAAGTAAGCACAAATCTCCACCAACTCACACTCTCTCTCTTCTACTTTATGAGGATGGTGGGGATTGTGCCATATAGGCGTCAATGAGGAAATCCCCTCCTATGATAAGGATACCCATTAATCTCTCTCTCTCTCTCTCTCTCTCTCTCTCTCTTATGCTTCTTTTCTCTATTAACATTAGTAATGTTGATTGGCTTGGTAATAAGATTGATGCTTCATTTTTGTTCAGTTGTTCAGGACCAACTAGCATGATACAAACCCTTCTCGGAACTTTACAATATAGCACAATATGTACAGTATGAAGACAGGATGATAAGGCCTCCTCATGGTCACTGGTATCAGTAAAAGCTTGCCAGATATAAAAAAAAGTTTATTTTATTATATATTTGAAACCAGATATTTGACAAGACAATCAAACTATTTTTAGCATTCTACTACTTTGAATAATATATAAAGTTCAGAAATTTTGGTCCTGATAAAAAATTAAACAGTCAATCGGACTACAAATATGTTCATATAGTAAAGCAAAATGATACAGCACTAACAGCAGACGTAGTGAATAGTTGTGACATATTACGTTAGTTAAAGATTGAATATAACTACTAAATTCTGACAACTTATTGAATATTACAGAAAAATTAAAATGATAGTCATCATCACATTTCATAGGAGAATGTAAACAAATTCAATGCCTAAACTAGATTTGGAAATGAATTCAGGGTCAAGCAACATGCTTTATGTCATAAACATCTAATCCAAATGTCTTGTACATGCTAGAAGAGAACATACCTTTAGTATTTTGTGGGCATTCTCAATAATAGCGAGTAATTTTGGCTCTGATAATAGGGATCTGGCAGTGCTTCCACTGGCTATGATCTTCTTCTCATTCAACTTGGAGACGGCTACTAGGTCAAAGTCCAAGAAAACCTCCCTGCAAAGAGATGTCAGGCAAGGAAATAACAGAATACTTCACTCGATCATCTCAAACAGCTCTCTTGATAGCTGTAGAAGTACCTAAATATGTGCCTTTTACTGAGGATTGCTGGCCATGTAAGCTCAGCTAATGCACCGGATAATACAAGCAACTCAAATAATCTCCTGCAGATTGTTAAGGATATCAGAGACCGAGAATCTTTTGTTAATTGGCTGCCAAATATTTCAAACCTTCCATTTTTAAATCAAAATGAGAATCAGAAAAATTTGAGATTGCATACCTGTCATCATGGACAGGAACACCCCATTCCTCATCATGGAATAAAACATAACGAGAATCTGTTGGAACAAATCAAACCAAAGATTACCCTTTTTTAAAGGATCTCAAATTTCAAACTGAATACAATATTAGGCTGCAGCATGAAACATATCAAAAAAGCAATATTAGAAGTCACTTTATATTGCCTTATTTTCCATTCAAAACTATGGGCAACTTTCAACCAGATTGATTGCAGTCAGTCATGAAGCTTAACTCATGCAATTAATTATGAACTTTTACCCTCCAAAATGTCAAATGGATGTTAAGCAGCATAGAATGATTATTAAATATGGAAATTAATAAAAGAAGCAACCAGAAATAATCTATGCAGTTCCTGGTGATGCACTAAAACAGAGAAGTAGCAGGAGAAAGCAAGTTGCAGAAAAATCGATTTCTATCCAGTAGGTTTCTAATCCATCAAACCAGCAACAGCAGCAAAGGAAAGATAAAAAAACGATGCTTTTGAACCATGATGCAAAGTGCCAATGAAGGGATCTAAAATAAATGCCAATGACACTCAAACACAATCCATCAAACTGCCTTATGTTAATATGGTAATGGGCATCAGATTCTTTAATATTAAAAACAAGAAGGAATCTTTTTATGCAAAGCTGGCACAACTGCATTTTGATTCTAGTAAGAAGGGAGACAGAGACTTGCTTACTCGGGTATTTGTGAAAGGCTCGTATGGTGCACTTCAATAACCATACTAGTTCAGAAACTTGCGGTTATCTTTCTCCTGTTGACTAGACCTAGTATAATCAAAGCATCTCACGCCTAAGATAATATCTGAATACATATGCTAAATAATTCTGCACGTGCACACACACAATGTTAACATATGTCATTTCCAACGATTTTTTTCATTAATCTCTGATAATGAGTAACTAACAATATGTGACAAAATCCTATGGCAAAACATTTTCATAAATCATTGTAGCCTCATCTTAATCCAGCTACCGTATCCTCGAGACCCCCTGCAACCTTATAACTCATTCACTACCAGTAGATATTTTAACTTAACTGGAAGGCAAATCACTGCATCAGATGGCACTTTCAGGGGCATAAAATGGCTTTCAAAAGGTAAAGCAGGAACCAGCTTCAAAGAACCAGACTGCGGATGACAGAGCAAGCAAACCCTGTATCCCGAGCCTGTGAAGACAATTAACTGAAAATGTGACCACAGCATTCACATTTCAACATTGGTTTTAGGAGCATGAAAACAACCAATCTTTTTTATCTCCAAAGCAATATTTGTTGGCGCCCGAAGCTAAATCTGGAATAAAACAGATATAAAACAACGGAAGCTGAAAAAAAACTGAAGTGTTGTATTTTAAAACGTTTCCAAGTTAGCTGATGTGCGTTTGTGAAATGTTGTGCTTAAAGCAATATTTGACTTACTCCCGTGGAAGAATCCTAAGGCAAACAGCTTTCGGGAACAGTTAAACAGTACAATGGTGTGCACCAACTAAGTACTGTCAAGATCTCCTTGATCTATAAGAACTTTCGATCAAGACAACGATATCAAGATCTCCTCGATCTTTTGTTGGCGCCTGAAGCTAAATCTGAAATAAAACAGATATAAAACAGCGGAACTGAAAAGAAACTGAAGTGTTGTATTTTAAAACTTTTCCAAGTTAGCTGTTGTGCATTTGTGAAACGTTGTACTTAAAGCAATATTTGACCTAATCCGGTGCAAGGATCCTAAGACCAAACTACTTTCAGGAACAGCAGTACAGTACAATAGTGTGCACCAACCAAGTACTGTCAAGATCTCCTCGATCTGTAAGACCTTTCGGTCAAGGCAATGATGTTAATATCTCCTCGATCTATAAGACCTTTCGGTCAAGGCAATGATCTCCTCGATCTGTTAAAATCTTTCGGTTCGGGACTGTTATAGTAATTTACCATCCAAAGATAGAAATATCGGGAGAATGTCTGCATAAGCCCAAGGAAGCTATGGTCCAAACCAACTTAGAGACTCAAAAACTCAGTCAAGGCTAAGTCCCTCGACCGGACGAGCAAACAAGTCATATTTCGATCAAGGGTCATCATGATCGACTCAAAGTACGAGATCAATCACCCTCTCGCAATTAAGACGACTCCTCGAGCAGACGACTCGACTATACACCCAACCCGAAGCTCACTCGACTATCGGGTTGCCAAATCATAATGATGGCTCGCAGATCAACCCGTCTCGGCTAAAGGGTTAAGAGCCGACCAAGTTCACTTCAGATGTCAATCGACACAACAATATTGATCAGTCTCATCAAGATCTCTATTCTGACAAACCTCGTGCCCAAGCCGCTTATTCGGCTTACAAGTCATTTTCCAGAAGATTACCATAATGCTTTCCTGTGCACGAATGACTTCTCCTCTAATCGCCAGCCGCTACCTGGAGAGAGAAGGACGGCCACGCAGCCGATCTATCCTACACCCTACCTCTTCTATCAAATCCAGGATACAGAGAAGCCGCTTCTCTCCTGTATTCGAATGACTTTCCTTCCAGTCGTCAGTCGATACCTGGAAGGAGAAGGATGACTCAGCACCCCTACTGCTCACCTCTCAGCCGCCTCTTGTGTATGACCAAAGCCAAGGGACAACACGCTCAGAGGCAAGGGACTATAAAAGGAGGAGCAAGGAGGAACGCAGGGGGTAAGTGATTCCTGGCTTGGCTACTTCTTCTTGATAAAAACCCGGAACCTGCCGTGGTTAAAAAAGAACTAGAAAACTCCTAAAAGAGTACGCTCCGAGGACCTCAATGGCCCGAGGACCTTCCCCCAAACCCTACTCAAACTCCACAGCTGACTTGACCGTCGGAGGTACCACGGGGGAAACTAGACACGTACTCCTACGATTTTTGCATGTGCAGGTCATCAGCCCACCCCGCGTGCTCAGAATCGGACGTAAAGTCGGAGGAGTCAGCCCCAACATCCATCCTCTTCCTTCTCACGGGGGAAACTAGACACGTACTCCTACGATTTTTGCATGTGCAGGTCATCAGCCCACCCCGCGTGCTCAGAATCGGACGTAAAGTCGGAGGAGTCAGCCCCAACATCCATCCTCTTCCTTCTCACGGGGGAAACTAGACACGTACTCCTACGATTTTTGCATGTGCAGGTCATCAGCCCACCCCGCGTGCTCAGAATCAGACGTAAAGTCGGAGGAGTCAGCCCCAACATCCATCCTCTTCCTTCTCCTCACCGTCGTCAGGATCGAAGCTGCACCCTATGACGGACAACCCCCATCGACTGTTTGTTCACGAGCATCAACAGTTTAGCACCCACCGTGGGGCCCACTTTCTTCTCTGAGAAGAAATACCCAATTCTAAACAGGGACCTGATCTTGTTCATTCCTGAAGAACGCTAGAATTGCATCGTTTAAGCTAAACAAAGCCTGGAATCGCATCATTCAAGCTAAGAAGGATTAGCCTATGGCTATGAGGAGCCAATGTAGGTGTAGCCCTCGAGTGCTCCAACAGCTTTCTGGGGAGTATTTGCCAAGTGGAACCCCGAAAACCCTCCTAAGAAAAAACACACCATTATGGTGCTTGTCTGGCTTGAGAATGAAGCACGGGCTTCTAATTACCGCCACAGACGAAAACTCCACCGCTTGAACGGCCAAGAGCCTGGGGTTGGATCGCAAACAGGCCCCCAAGGATCATGATCAGATCCAGTATCGCTCAAGCTCCCGTCGGTAATGGTTCACCCGAGCAAGGAGCAGCGATCAAGTCTGTGGCAGGCTCCTCGGACCACCACCACCACCTCCAAAGGAGAGTCCCTTCCTCACCAAAAGATGGGATTGCGAGAAAAACTCAAGGGCTACCCATCTGGTCTTCTCAGGAAGATTAACAGCTCTGGTCCCCATCCGTTGTTCGAACCACCTAAAGTCAAAATAAGAACTGGTGGTCGAAACATGCGACTCGCATCCCTCTAACAAAAGAAGGCTCCCCCATTTATAGGATGGCCCGGCTGTCGCTATCCCTGGATACCCCCAAGGGGAAGTCATGATCTCATCAAATTTCAGGGAACAAAACTTTGGCGCATGAGGCTCTCACCAACAAGAAGCCCCCATCACGAGTTGCCTAGGCCTCCTCCTGTTGAGCACTATCCTCCAAAAGCTCAATCAGCAAGACTCTGGCCATATAGCGCAACCAACGATGGACAAACAAGATCGGTTGAAAATCACCATGTCCACCATTGACCTGTAAGGATCTCAGCAAAAACTCCAAGCAGATCCTTGGCTGATGAAATGGCAAATATGCCAACAACTCAACAACGCCCAAAGCCAAACAGCTCACTCTCGGGAGGAAGAGCAATCCCCGATTCCGGACTCCTCAGTTTGGCAACAAAGATAGCCAATGAAGTAACAGCTCGCTCTCATCAATGTAGGAATGTTCACAGGCGAAAAGAAACAACCAAGAAAGCTCCGTCTCGGTGACCCTGTCTCCGGCAAAAGACATCTTTAAAATGCATCTGGATGCGACTCGATGGAATAAATGTGAATGAGTTGTACTCTATCATATATAAATTCCAATAATTAATGAAAATGTCAAATGAAAAGAAAGACATCAAAGACCCAGTCAGCTGGCCACTCGGCTAAGTCGATAAAAGTCCCTAGCACCTCCTCAGGGTAAAACCAAGGCATAATCTTTTTTACCGATTCTTACAGTCGACTCTCGGCCCTAGGGAAAAATGCAAGTCCTCGGCCCCTAATCTGGGTAAACCCGAGGCGCAACGACTCCTCAAACGGTTACAAGACCATGGTACCGCCTCAGGACAGGCCCAAGGTGTCACGACTCCTCAGTCGGTCACAAGGCCATGGTGCCGCCTCAGGACAGGCCCAAGACGCAACGACTCCTTAGTCAGCATAAAGTCCCCGGCCCCTAATCTGGGTAAGCCCGAGTCGCAACGACTCCTTAGTCGGTCACAAGACCCTGGTGCCGCCTCAGGACAGGCCCAATGTGCCACGACTCCTCAGTCGGTCACAAGGCCCTGGTGCCACCTCAAGACAGGCCCAAGGCGCAACGACTCCTTAGTCGATATAAAGTCCTCAGCTCCTAATCTGGGTAAGCCCGAGGCGCAATGACTCCTTAGTCGGAACAAAGCCATTGACTCTTCTTAAAGAATAAGTCCAAGACAAAACGACTTCTTAGTCGGAACAAAGCCCTTGACTTTTCTTAAAGGTACGCCCAAGGCATAACATATGGTTCGATTCCTTCTGTTCTCACCGTCCATAGTGGTCAAGACTTTGGTACCTTCTCAAGATAAAACCAAGGCACAACGACTTCTCAATCGGAATAAAGCCCTTGGCTCTTCTTAAAGGTAAGCACAATGCACAACTATGGTTTGATTCCTTCTGCTCTCATCGTCCATAGTGGTCAAGACCTTGGTACCTAATCTGGGTAAAACCAAGGCAAAACGACTTCTCAGTCGACACCAAGACTTAGTCACATAGGCACAACGATTTCTCAGTCGGCTCAAAGCCCTTGGTACCTAATCTGAGTAAAACCAAGACAAAACGATTTCTCAGTCGGCACCAAGACCTAGTCACCTAGGCACAACGACTTCTCAGTCGACTCAAAGCCCTTGGTACCTAATCTGGGTAAAACCAAGACAAAACGACTTCTCAGTCGGCACTAAGACCTAGTCACCTAGGCACAACGACTTTCCAGTCGGAACAAAGCCTTTAGCTCTTCCTAAAGAATAAGTCCAAGACAAAACGACTTCTCAGTCGAAACAAAGCCCTTGGCTCTTCCTAAAGAATAAGTTCAAGGCAAAACGATTTCTCAGTCGGAACAAAGCCCTTGGTTCTTCCTAAAGAATAAGTTTAAGGCAAAACGACTTCTTAGTCGGAACAAACCACTTGGCTCCCTATCAGGAGTAACCTAAAGTACAAAGGCTCCACAATTCGGCAATCAAGTCTACGGTCCCCTACCTAGATAAACCGAAGACAACCCCAGAGTCGACTATTTGAGTTATCTTCCAACCAAACAAGAAAAACAAAGACGTCGCCACCTATCCCGTGTAGAGTATCGAACCTACAATGATCAACACTCTTCTCAAAAAGAAAAATGGAGCCACAACATGAATCAGTTATTCAATCAAGCATTTGCAGTTCTCAAAAGCAGAAGATAAAAGAAATCGCTTTTCATTTAGAAAAGAGTTTTTGTACATTCTTTACCAAAAAGCCTAACCAGACTTACAAAAAAAATTCTAAGGCTCAGCGCCATTGTCCCCAGAGTCCTTGCTCATCTTCTTCGAAGGCCTCTTGGAAGAACTCGGTCCCTCCGAATCAGCCCTTCTTTTACAGACCTCCATTGGTGGAGGAATGATCGTCGCTTCAGAATCTGAGGACGAAGAGGACCACCCCATCTCAAGAAACTCTTCTCCGTCCAAAGCTTTGGACTCCTGAAGATCAAGGCGACACCGAAGCTTCTCAAGATCTCTAGCCTCGAGATCACTGAGAGCCCTCGGCTCCAGCACGTCCTCCTCCGCCTCAGGCCAACCTGAGCAGGATAGAATATTATCGGCGCCAAATACCCAAACGAAAAACTTCTTTTATTCTTCGTCCAGCCCCGGGAGATCGACGTCCAGGCAAAAATCGCCTCGACAGTGGAAGAAATAGTGGGGTCTCCCTCAATGGACCCCACACTAACCACGTGCCCGAGCAGGCTAATGCTAGGCACTATTGTCGCCTCAGAGCAGGCGTCAATAAACGCCATCAAAATGTGGACGGCGTGTGGGTGAAATTGGCAGGGGGGAACCCCCAGAGCCATGAAAACTTCCCTGACGAAGGGATACAGCGACAGGCGTAATCCACACTACAGATGCGCCAAGTAGAGAGGAACCCAATCCTCGCTGTGCATATGCACCAGAGTCGAGCTGTCCGACGCCCCTATGGTCATCGTCACACGGGAGATGTCATATCGATCATACAACCAGCTCGCCTCGTCCAAAGTCATCCTCGATCTGGATAAATATAAAACCATGAGTTTCCTCTCGCGATCATTCTGAGGAAAAGCCATACTAAAAACTCTTAAGGAGCTGAAAGGAGGATCGACGAAGTAAAATGTTCTTGGTGCAGAGTGCCCCTTTCAACGGCGCAAGGAACTATTTATAAGCCTCCAAAGACGCATGCAGAAGAATTCAAGAGGTACCATCCTGGAGCAATTAAGGAAGATCCACTTTGGAGAGTGGAAATGAATCGCTCGGGAAAGCTAACCGTCACTTGTAACTCACCAATCAATTGGCAAGTATGGCGCCTTTCACTCTACCCACGACGCCTCGTTTCCTTCGAAAAAGCGGTTCCCAATACCGATCATCAGCTCACAGAGATTGGCGGTTAGCGAGACCTACGCCACGTCTCCAACCACGATCAACTAGCCAAGAAATCCCCAAGATATGGAGTAAGCTTGTATCTATTTTACTCAGACTCGACTAAAGTCAACTCCGAATGAAAAGGACCAACTGTTATGGTAATTTACCATCCAAAGATAGAAATGTCGGGAGAATGTCTACATAAGCCCAATGGAGCTATGGTTCAAACTAACTTAGAGGCTCAAAAGTCCAGTCAAGGCCAAGTCCCTCGACCGGATGAGCAGACAAGCTATATTTCGATTAAGGGTCATCATGACCGACTCGAAGTACGGGATCAGTCACCCTCTCGTAATTAAGACGACTCCTCGAGCAGACGACTCGACTATACACCCGACCGAAACTCACTCGACTATCGGGTCGCCAAATCATAATGATGGCTCGTAGATCAACCCGTCTCGGTTAAAGGAATAAGAGCCGACTAAGTTCACTTCAGATGTCAATCGACACAACAATACTGATCAGTCCCATCAAGAACTCCATTCTGACAAACCTCATGCCCAAGCCGTTTATTCAGCTTACAAGTCATTTCTCAGAAGATTGCCATGATGCTTTCTTGTGCACAAATAACTTCTCCTTCAATCTCCAGCCGCCACCTGAAGAGAGAATGACGGCCACGCAACCGACCTATCATACGCCCTACCTCTTCTATCAAATCCAGGATACAGAGAAACCGCTTCTCTCCTGTATTTGAATGACTTCCCTTCTAATCGCCAGTCGATACCTGGAAGGAGAAGGATGACTCAGCACCCTTACTGCTCACCTCTCAGCCGCCTCCTATGTATGACCTAAGCTAAGGGACAATACGCTCAAAGGCAAGGGACTATAAAAGGAGGAGCAAGGAGGAATACAGGGGGTAAGTGATTCTTGGCTTGGCTACTTCTTCTTGATAAAAACCCGGAACCTACCGTGGTTAAAAAAGAACTATAAAACTCTTAAAAGAGTACGCTCCGAGGACCTCAATGGCCCGAGGACCTTCCCCCAAACCCCACTCAAGCTCCACAGCTGACTTGACCGTCGGAGGTACCACGGGGGAAACTAACCCCGTACTTCTGTGATTCTTGTATGTGCAGGTCATCAGCCCACCCCGCGCGCTCAGAATCGGACGTAAAGTCGGAGGAGTCGACCCCAACATCCATCCTCTCCCTTCTTCTCAGCGTCGTAAGGATCGAAGTTGCACCCTACGGCGGACAATCCCCATCAACTGTTTGTTCACGAACATCAACAAGGGCTATATTCCTTCGGGCACAGGTTAAAGTTTGCACAATTTTAAACTCTACAATAGCAGCACAACAGCTTAATAGATTCAAATTGTTCAAGTTTTTCAACACTTCAGTGTGTTTGCATACCCCAAGAGCTACCCTAAATGGGTACTATTTATAGGCCTCTAAGGCCAGCTTAAGGGTCATTCACAATCAATATGACGGTTACAAATCATAATGATAATTATGATTATAACAGCAAATGACTTAATTGTTGTAAATGCTGCATGCAGTAACGCCTGAACGCGAGGGTCGCATTTCTACGCAACGCGAGGGTTGCATCGCGCCTTGCGAACACGAGGGTTGCGAACGTGATGCTCGCATCCTTGCGCGAACGCGAGGGTTACATCGCGCCTCGCGAACGTGAGGCTCGCACCCTCGCGCGAACGTGAGGGTCACGTCACGCCTTGCGAACGCGAGGCTCGCCCGCAT